GCCTGCTCCGCTGTGAGTTGGGCTGGGTGATGCCCTTGGTGGCCAGGAGGGATCCAGCCCCAGGACTCCCATCTCCTCCGTGGTGCTTCTCCGCTCCTGGATCCCAAACCGCCTTTCTGCCCAAGGCTGCGGTCGAGTAACAGAGTCTGTGGCGTGGGGCCTGGGGCCGCCGTGGGCTGCACAGGGGGGACACGTGAGACGGGTTCGGGTCCCAGCTCCCTGCTGGCTGGTCTGTTCGGTGGCCAGGAGGGATCCAGCCCCAGGACTCCCATCTCCTCCGTGGTGCTTCTCCGCTCCTGGATCCCAAACCGCCTTTCTGCCCAAGGCTGCGGTCGAGTAACAGAGTCTGTGGCGTGGGGCCTGGGGCCGCCGTGGGCTGCACAGGGGGGACACGTGAGACGGGTTCGGGTCCCAGCTCCCTGCTGGCTGGTCTGTTCCTCCTGGGACCTGGGTTCAGATCCCAGCTGCCTGGGCTGGACCCTCTTCTCATCTCCCCTCCGCCCGAGTTCGGTTCTCTTAGCCCCCAAACCGCTTACGCTGTTGGCTCTTCTCATTCCTGAGGTTGTTTTGTTTTTTTTTCAGACGACCCCTCCCCCTGCCCCGGCTGTTCCCTTCTCCCCGCTTCCCCATCTCTTATCCCCCCACTCCACTTCTTCAGACTCAAGTTCAGATCTCTGCTCCTTCCCCACTTGTGCTGTTCCTTTCTCTCCCAGCTTCTCTCCCCCGCACCCAGGTTTGGCACCCACATTTACTTCCACCCAGGTTGTATCCTGGTGACTCTAAACTATCCGACCCTTTGTGGTATCCTGTTTAACCAGTTAACCAATTCAGTGGATTTTTCTGTAATCTGCATCCCCAGTCTTCATCCCCTTTTCCCAATTGACTGTGCATGGCTAGCCAAGTACAAAAGCAGTTTCTCCTCTCTTGGTCTTCACACCTCCACATCAGCTGCTAGAAGTGGGCCTCATCCTTTCTGACTGAATTTACCTCTTTCTCTCTAGCCTTACTCTTGATTGGTACTCTTTTCTTATGCCTGTATATTTATACCTGCCTCTGGAATTTCTACTACATGCATCTGACGAAGTGGGTCTTTGCCCATGAAAGCTTTTGCTCCAATAAATCTGTTAGTCTGTAAGGTGCCATAGGACTCCTCATTGCTTTCCCAGGAGCTTCCTTGGTTCCCTCTTGCTCTACTCCTCCAAAATGTGTCAAGCTCTGGGATCCTCTGCGCTAGGCGCTGCAGACCAGGCCTACTGTAGGTTTGGAGGACTGGGGACTTTTGCAGTAGGGTACAGCATACACCACCAGAGGAACAGCTTTATTTTCCTTGTGTCACTTTTAGCTTTAGACTCAAAAACACACTTCCACTAAATAGAAAAAAAATTACTGTAGCTCTGAAGAAGTGTTTACCTGATTCAGGTATCTGAGTCAGAGCTCCTGACTCTTTTGGCACAAACAGGCTTTTACTCCTGTTTGCTGTACCAGCTCCTGCGAAGCCAAGAACTGATTGTTCCCTGAAGCTGCACTGGGTCCACATCTGACCACAGAATTGCTATTCTTGTGGCTGATTTTCAGATACCAAAGTAAGTTTGGGGAAATGATGCTAATCGAAAAATCATTTGACTTGTAAAGGAACAGGATTAGAGGCAGTTAAGACAAATACAGAACCTCACCATGTTGTGGGGTAGTCACCTTCCTGAATATCATTGTCCTGCAGCTGTTTATGAAATATGGCAGCTGAGTGAATGTAGAATAACCATACTGGGAATTAAAATCACAAGGGCGTGTGGTGTTGACAGTTTTAAGGCCTAATATGTTGAGAACAATCAAAGATGAAAAGGATTGCTTTGTATTATATAAATTCTTGGAATCCCAAACTCCACTGGTTCAGGTGACAGTGGCTGGTAAAATTTCCTTGAAGACAAACCCCTTGCCTGTAGAAAGCAAAGGTGCAATCAGAATGAAGCAGTTTATAGGCTTACTGTCACAAGATCTGTCTAGGCTACAAAGCAATATTGATGAACTAGGTCATGTTTTCAGGTTCAGTAAATGTTTCAAAATAAGTTTAAGACATTAGGCCAATACATGGATTAGTAATGGTGAAAGTGCATCTAGACTGGAATTTAACTGTTCGGTGACCTGACCTAGTCAGTGTTGCACTATGTATTCTCACTTTCTATATTATTTGTTTAGTTTCTATGTGAATTTCATATGCTTGATCTCAGCCCTGCTGCACTATTCAAATACACACTCAAAGAAGGCCAGAGTCCCCAGTTCCATCCTAAATCCTGAAGGAAACTGCTAAAACATTAGTTTAATAACAGAACTTTTCAATAACAATATTTCTTAAAAGTTGCAAGAGATTTGTAGTTGAGATCATCTATTGAATCCAATTTTCTGTGGCTTTCAGGGACAATGAAAGTTGTGATTGGTCCTGTCTTGGGCAGGGGGCTGGACTTGAAGACCTCCTGAGGTCTCTTCCAGCTCTATGATCCTATGAATCCAGTTGTATTTATTGCTCCAAACTTTGGGCGCACAGGCTTGACAAACTGCTTCACGGTCACTGAGCAGTAATGCTACCTAGCAAGGGCATCAGGTTTTTTTGTGACCTTATAAAGCTATGATGTCACTGAGCATCTGCAGTTGCTTCCAGATCAAGCCTGTTCTTGGTGCTGTTCTGTGTAGTGCTCTTTGAAATTATACTCTGGTGAGGGTGGATGTTTTGCAGAGCAGCTGGAAACATTAAATTCTGTTTTCTGCTAGCAGCACACATTCTCCATTCCTAAATGTATCCATGTTTTGTAGTGGGTGCAGTCTTCAGGACTTTCCTGCTTGCATGTTGTGTATAAGCCTTTGATACACAACGGCCTTCTTGTTCTTATGGAGGAAGAGTATCTTGGAAAAATGGGTCCATCTCTCAGGGTATGTCTACACAGCAGGGCTAAAGTTGAATTAAGCTACACTACTTCAGCTACGTCAGTTGGAGCTACATCATAGAGGTTGAGAATGGTGTCCCTAGCTGCTGGTTGTCTGGAAATGGGTGACAGGAGAGGGATCGTGTGAGGATTACCTGTTGTGTTCCCTTCCTCTGGGACAACTGGTATTGGCCACTGTCGGCAGACAGGATACTGGGCTAGATGGACCCTTGGTCTGACCCAGTATGGCCATTCTTATGTTCTTAAGTCAAAATAGCTTAATTCAGCTTTTGGTGCTGTCTACACAGCAGGAAGTCAAAGGAAGAACATTCTTTCTTTGCCTTCCCGTACCCCTTGTGAAATGAAGGTTACCAGGAGTCAGAGTAAGAAGTCCTTCAGCTCGACATTTATTTCAAAATAAAGGCTTGTAGTGTAGATGCACACTGTTATTTCGGCATAACGTCAGTATTCCGCTGCTGTGTAGACGTACCCTTAGAAGGGAAAGGTGCCTTTTTGCTGCCTTATAAAGGCCCAAATCTTTCCTTTTTTTTTTTTTTTTTTTTAAATCCTGCTTGTCTTCTGTCTTCCTTGAGTTTGATGAAGGATGTCTTGTATGACTCAGGCATGTTTGAGTGCTTATTAAAGCAGTTTGGCAAAGAGCTGTTCTCTCAATTGTCTGAGTGAAGTTGGAGTTAGTAATTTAGGTCTGAAAAAAAACCACATTCTCAAGCAATTGGGTTCCTTTCAGAGCATCCAGTGGCATCCTTCTAAGTGCCCATAGTCTTCCAGGGTAAACAAAGAACTGACGTTCTAATGTAATCCCAACTCCATGTTTCTTTTCTATGTAACAAGAACATAGCACCTCTGTGGATCACCTTTAACCTGAGGCTTAGGGCTTGTCTACTCTTAAACACTAGTGGCACAGCTGCACTCACCAATATCGTACTTCAGTGTAGACACTAGTGACGCCGATGGAGGGATTCTCCCCTGGCTGCAGTAGCTACATTGATGGAAGAGTCCTTCGGTCAGTTTAGAACTGTCTACGCTGTGGGGTAGATCACAGCTGCACCTCTCAGGAGTGTGGGTTTTTCACATCCCTGAGACTCAAAGCTATGCTGATGTAAGGTCTCAGTGTAGACCAGCCCACCGTGTACTTAAAGGACGCCATCAGAGTTAAACTACCATTTCAGAGCCTGATTTTCAGAGGCACTAAGTACCTGCAGCTTAAAAGCACTTACCACTCCAATTGACAATGACTCAGAAGTTCAGATCCCAGATCTCTGAATTGCGTTATATGTAACTTATTAACCTTAAAGAAGAGTTGTTTGAACTTAAACTGTCTTCTGTTGTCATCTGAACAAGTAGGTTGTCCCCACGAAAGCTCATGATACCATCTACATGTTTTGTTATCCTCTAAGGTGCTCCTAGACTATTTGTTGTTTAAGTGTCTCCTGTTGTGTCTATAACCCAAATACAGTGTCCCAGTGCCACAGCATGATAGCCAGAATATGAAACTCATCAGTCTCTATTGATCAGATGGAGACAGTTTCACTAGGTAAACATCCGGGGGTGGGGGAGAACTGGATTTTATAAACCTCCTTTTAATAATCTATAGCAGGGGTGACCAGCCCACAAAGCTGCCTCTGCACCCATACAAAGGGCCTCCGGTTCCCTGTGAAGCAAAGTGGCGCTGGCAAAATAGCACCGGCAAGAAGCCAAACCCGAGTTTTCATTTAAAGGGGCAGTGTCTTCCTCTCCTCTCCCCCAACAACTTTTTTCCCTTGGCTCTTTGCGCTATGTCCACCACTATTTTGGCTCTTTGACTGTAATGGGTTGGCTACCCCTGATCTATAGCCTGGGTAAAATAAAGGGAAATACACACATCCTGATTTGCTCCTGTAAGTGAGGAGAACATAACTCTGCGTTGAACCTCTGTGGTTCACAGATGTTGCCGGACCAGAGAGCTCCAGCAGTTGGGAGTCTTGCAGCAGCGCAGCTTGGTGGTGGCTGGAGTGGGGACAGCGCAGAGTTCTGCTTCACCTGCTAAGAATGTTCATTTATTTGTGCCTTTCTTTCATCCGCCAGGGAAAGGGCCCCTAAAGAAAAGCCAAAAGCGGTGACCCCAAAGTCTCGCCAAGGCCCCACAAATGAGGCCCAGATGGCGGCAGCTGCAGCCTTGGCTCGGCTGGAGCAGAAACCCAAGCCTCGGCTCCCTTCTTCCCAAGACGCCATCAAGAATCAAGGTAAGAACAGCCACCGTTCCTTATGGGTGCAGGGGCATGACAGGCATATTTGTGCCTCGACCGAGTGCCCGTTCACAGGGAAAGTCTCCCCCAGCCTGTTTGGCCCAGCGAAGCCTGCACTCGTCTCAGTGGCATTTCCATCTGTGAGACTGGCAGGGTGAGGAGCTAGTGTCCTGTGCTTTCACACTCCATGGATGGCTTTGCACAACCAGCTAGGGGCACTTTTGGGAGCAGGGGGTTGCATTCTCTTGAAGCCTCGTGTTCCAACTCACTGCCAGAGGCCAGATAGCAAAGATGAACCACCTGCCTGACTCGGGTTGGCAATAATTTTTGACAGGGGGCCACTCCAAGACTTTGTAAAGTGGTTGAGGGCCGCGCTTTTCCATTTTAAAGGAGGAAGTGCGGGGTCTGGGATGGAGGTTGGGTGCAGAAGGGAGCTTGAGGTAAGGGATTGGGGTGCTGGAGGGATAATGGGGTCTGGGAGGGAGTTTGTGTGAAGGAGGTGGTCATCACCTAGGGCAGTAGTACGAGTACTCTTAGGGGTACTCAAGAAGTCGGGGAGTATGTCAACACAACTGCAATTTGGAGAAAACTGAATTTTTAAGTTTTACACCCCAGCTATGATTAAGTTGTTTAAACTAACGTGTTACAATGGTAGAAAAAATTGTTTCTGAAAACTAAGTACTGGGGGTACTTTATTTATTTATTTATTTTTAAAGGCATACTTTATAAAAAAAAAGGTTGAAAATCACTGATCTAGGGCAGGGGAATGGGATGCAGGGTTTTGGGAGGGGATTGTGATCTGGGGCAGGAGATTGGAGTGCCAGATCTGGGAGGGAGTATGGGTGCAGGACAGGGCAGAGGATTTGAGTATGTGCACTAGGAGGGTGAGAGGAGCAGAGGTTGGGGAAGGGAGAAGCTGCGGTGCCAGAGGCAGCCTCTGGCCAGGAGACTTACCAGCCAGCAGCCAAACCTGCCTGCCTGTCTGCAGAACTAAATGCTTACAGGGCTTAAAATGTTTCCCAGCCAACCTGCCTACCCAGCCATGTGCTTGTGTGAATAACTGAGCCGGACAGAAGGGGAGCATTGTACTTCGTGGCTGCCTGTTACTCAGGCAGCTCCCATTGGCTAGTTTCTGCCCAGAAGCTGGATAATGGGATTGTGCTGGGGATGGAGGCAGTGCCTGAAGCCTTCCCCTCCCCTCCCCTTGGGGATTACAGTTTTGAAAGGGAGATGGCCCAGGAGCTGCTTTTCTGAGCAGCATGCGGGACTTCAAGGCAAGCAGGGGAGCCTGCCTGCGGCTCCCTGCTGTGTCCACGGGCTGGATCCAGTGGCTTGGCAGGCCAGATTTAGCCCAGGCCTATCCCAACTGCTGCTTCCCTGCCCCAACCCTGTGTAATTCATTGGGTTGCACCACATCAGCCATCCTAACCTGAATTTATGCCTCCTAGTGAAAAAGGAGCTTCTGGCTGAAGCAGCAGTGAGCGAGCGAAGACTTTCTGCGGATGACAAGGTATGAGGAGATGCTGCTAATCAAGGGCATGTGATCCCTGTGCATTAGAGAATCCCTAAATAAGGAAGTTTGAGCATCTTCTAGGGAAGGAGATACCAGCCCCCGCACGGTGGGGACTGTGCATTTGAGTCTGACTTCAGAAACGAGCAGAGAAATAGCTGTGTGTGGTTCAGAGAGCATAAAACCCTTCAGCTCATACTATGGCATCTCTCCTAATTTGTCTTGCTCACTAACCCCCCTCCCCCCGCCCAAGGTCAGCAGGCTGCAGGAGAGAAGAGCAATTGCTGTGGAGTCAGAGGAGTGATTCTGCACTTGGTGCAGGACAACACCTATTTTTACACCCTCTTTTACCCCCTTTTTGAAAACGCCTTGACTGAAACATCTCTGGACTGACCCTGAGTTCCTTTGCGTGTAGGAGAGTTACTCCTATTGTTTGGCCCTGGGCCGCATTTGAGTACTTATGGGTAGTACCTTATGCTACAGGTCAGCAGGCCTACTCCTGAATCACGGGGCGGCTTGGTGGGAGCCATGATAATGGAATCTGGTGTTTTACCTGTGGCTCTGAGAGTAATGGAAACATCTGCTGCTCCAGCCGAGTCTTTTTAACATGACTGAAAGTGTTGACCTCTAGTGGCGGGAATCACTCTGACTTCAGGGCTGCCAAGCACTCGGTAGGAACGCTTTGCAAACCTTGGGTGACTTGCTTGGTAGCAATCAATTCCTCTGCTTGGATGTGGCATGCTTGTTGCTGGTATCTCCGCAGAATGCCTTTAGTACTTTCCACTATATTAGAAGGGATCCGAGTTAAGCCTTGGGAAGCATTGCACGGTGCTGCCGAATAACCCACACGGTCCGGGAAACATGCTGAGATATGAGACTGGCATCTCCCCTCTGAAATAGGGATGTTAAAATGCGGGTGATGGTGTAAATATGTAACCGCTGAATTTTCCAGTGATTACACACACCTGGCTCCTGGGAGCTGGTGCACTTCTGGGGAGCTGGCTGCTTCCCCACGCTGTTGCCTCTGATACAGAGGCAGCAGTGTGGGATGATAGGCTGCTCTCCGGGAGCCGGTGTGCGCCGCCTGCATGCTTTTAAGCTGGCTTCCCATGTGTACAGGCTCCCGCTTGCCATCCCTGTCACAGGCAGCAGCAGCTCCCCAGGAGCTGGCGTTTAAGCCTACTTCTGATAGAGGCAGCAGTGGGAGGTGGGGGGAGCCTGTGTGTAATCATGAACGTTAGCTGATGAGCCCAGGCCTATCAGTTAACTGTCTGCGGGTTATACGTTCACGTCCCTACTCTGAATAGTTTCCATGAGTTGCACTAGCAAGAGAGTTGTGCATGGGGGAGATGGGAATCAAACGTTCTCCCCTTTCGAACCACTGTTTGATTTCAGCTCTTTCTTCAGGGGCCCGTGCCTGCAGTTGAGGAAGAAACAGCAGGACTGTCGGTGTCGGGGGTCTATTTCATTTGCCCACTAACTGGGGCCACCGTAAGGAAAGACCAGAAGGAAGCGCACATAAAAGAGGCCATCCTCTGTGTAAGTGAGGTCCTCTGCTGGCCACAGATGTTCGCTGTTTTCTGCCATCCATCTCACTAAATCCTTGGTGTGGTCTCCAAGTGCAACGTAACCTGTTGGAAATGCCATGGGGCCGCTGTGGTCTCAGCCAGATTCTCAGGCAGCCCAGGGTTGGATACTCTGTGTAGAACAACGTGCACTCTCCTCTATCGCCACCTCTCAAAATTACAGCCCTCTGCTGTCCCCACTTTCTCGCTCCAAGCTTCTATCTCCTCATCTGGATTTACAGTCCTTGAAGAGAGTTGCTGACAAATGCCTGCTCTGATTCCTTCCTCTGAGCTTGGTAGGAGACTGCTATCCGGAACCCTCTGGTTCTGAGTAAGGATTCTAAATATCAGTTAATTGAATAGTGAATTCACCTCATGAATTCTTATTGGTTACTCGACTATTCTGTAGTCCCCGGGGGTGGGGCCAGCAGCCAGTGTGCTCCAGCCCCTCTCCTGAGGAGCCCCCTGCCTTTCCGCACTACTGCTTCCGTATCAGAGGCAGTAGCGCGGGGTGTCAGGTGGGAGCTGGTCCGCAAGGGGATCCAGTTTAAAAACCAGTTCCCTTTGCAGACCGGCTGGCTGTTGCCCTGCCCTGCTGCCTCTGATAGAGGCAGCAGCACAGGGTGGCAGCAGCCCCTGTCTGGGCTGGGGATCTGAGCTCCCAGACCTGGTGCGAGTTGGAACTGAGTCGGGCTGCCTGCCCTGATACACTTTCAATGCAGAGCCGCAGCAGGGGTAGGTCCCAGACTCAGCACGATCCAGGTCTCAGCCCAGCTGCTGCCCAGCCTGTTAAAAAAAAATTGTACTGGCAAGACAGGAGGGGCAGAATGTTTGTAGTCTATAGCAGTAACCTATAAGCTTATGGTTATCAGTTAATCACCGATTATGCTATTACGTCCCTAGTTCTGAAATTGGCAGGACCAATCAGCTGGCCCCTCTGTGACTAGCTTCTGTCCTTCTCCTTCAGCATTCCGCTAAAGACCCAGTGGCTGCTTCCATCATGGAGATTCACACCTTCAACAGGGACCGAGAGAAGGTGAAACTTGGTGTTGAGACCATTGCTAAGTAAGTGTGTGAAAGCCTTGGGCAGCTCAGCTCCCAGGTGGCCTGCCTAGAATCTGTTGCTTCTCTGGGTGAGAAGGGGTTGGATGCAAGCAATTGCCCCTTTCCCGGAAGGTTAATGGGGAAGGGATTTTCTTGTACTGTACGTGGTGCCCGAAGGAAAACTGAAGGGGAAGATTTGGAAACGTTTCCTGAAGTCTTAGACTGGACAGTGCGTAGTCAAGGAGACACAACTTGTGAATGGGGGGAAATGGACTGACTAGATGGGGATCAGGAACCTAGATCCCCAGCTTACTTGGATCTGGTAGGTGGGAGGCCCCCTCCCTTCTCCCCCCTCTGAGGGCTGGAACATGAGCTTGTTGGGAGCCAGTGAGATGTTTTAATTTTAATGTTAGGAGCCAGGTCAGTGAGGTGTGTTGCTTTTTGCTTCTCACTGAAGTGAGGCCCCTGACTGAAAAAGGGTTTCCTGCTCCTGGAGTAGATCATAAAAGTGGGCCCTGCAGTCCTAGAACTAGGCACCTCCAGGTGGAACATGTGAGTGACAAGTGAGTACCCTCTGAGTCAGGCTTTGGTTTTGGACTTTGCCTGCAAAGCAGACGGGGAGGGCAGTGGGGGAACCCATTGCTATGCTCCTGACATCATGAAACAAGCTGCAATGTGCACAAAGAACATTCTGGATGCTGGTATGCAAATAAGCCCAGTCGTCTTCAGCGATCTCACCCTATTCACAGGGCTTTTGAGTTTTATGGTTCTGTCCTGTGTGTTTCCATGTCTCTTCCATGGGCAGTTCTAAAGACTTCTTTCTGGAGAAGGGGGACCGAGGAAATTCGTACAATGAATGAGTGCTCAGAAATAAATTTGGCTTGGGATAAACAAGCCTGGGAAGGATGCTAGTGGAGGGGGCACTTGGAGATCTCTGGACCCATGGAATATGTTTTCAAACGGGACCAGAAGTTCACCAGTGAGCCGAGTATCCAGGCCTGCTGTTGTGAATGAAGTGTGAGAGAGTCCTGCCTTTGCAGATACCTGGATAACATCCACCTCCATCCAGAGGAGGAGAAATACCGGAAAATCAAACTGCAAAATAAAGTGTTTCAGGTGAGGGTCAAACGCTTGCAATTGACATACTGAGGAATTCCCACTCTGGCAGATGACATCTAACCCTCTCCTTCTCTTTTAGGAAAGGATAAATTCTCTAGAAGGGACACACAAGTTTTTCCAGGCCATTGGGTTTGAGAAGGCAATGCTGCCTGTTCCTGGACAAGGCAAGAAATCTAACTCTTAGATTTAAGACGGGGGTCAGCTACTTGTTGGTGCTAGCAAGGTATTTCTGGGAAGCAACTTTGGTCACTGTCAGAGCCTTCTCAACCAGGGCTATACGCAGGTTTTCCAGGGGGCACGTCAGCTCCTCTAGATATACACCTAGTTTTACAACAGGCTACAGTTAGTACAAACTGAAATTTCGTAGTAGTTTATACTGCTCTATAGACTACACTGAAACAGTACAGTATTTTTATTCTGGTTGATTACTTTCTCAATTTTATCATATAGCTATAAGCATTTTTCAGTGTGGTGTAACACTGCTGTATTTTTGTCTGATTTTGTAAAGCAAGTCGTTTTGAAGTGAGGTGTAATTTGGGGTACACAAGGCAAATCAGACTCCTGGAAGGGATGCCGTACTCCGGAAGGTTGAGAGCAATACTCTGAAACCTGCTGTCTGTTGTGGCATCACCGTTCTACCCACACCCCCAAACCTGCAGCTTGCTTGTTGCCCCAGGGGGTTTTGCTCTGGGGAGTGCTTTCCACTAGGTCAGAGGGAGACGTGACTACCCTCCTACCGGGGGGGAGTGCGAGTGGAGGCGAAGGGAAAACAAGGTGCTGAAGCCCCATGTGTGTGTTTGTAGAGACCACAGAAGAGTACTACGTGCTGAAGGAGGAAGTGTTGCCTAAGCTGGAGGAGCTCCAGGACTATAAGGAGCAGCTGGTGAGTTCAGAGCCAGTGAAGGCCCAGTTGGATCGCCAGCTCTGCGTTTTCAAACCTTCCCCTCAAGCTGCCCAGTTTGAGCTGCCCCACGATTTCTACAACCTCACACTAGAGGAGCTAAAGCGAGAACAGCGGCTCCGGTGAGTGGCCTGTAGCACTGAGCACTGTAAGTAAGAGATCTGCATAATTGGGGGCAGGAGGGTGGGCTGACCATACAGATGGAATGTGTTACTCTGGCCTAGGAAAATCTCACCACTCCCCCACCCTCCCTTTGCTTTATTTCATGTTCAAAACTGTTTGTCCATAAAGGACGGAAGCACTGGAGAAGGCCTCTATGCTGAGAACAAAGGCTATGCGAGAGAGAGACGAGCAGAGGGAAATGCGGAAATATAACTATACGCTGCTACGAGTCCGTTTCCCTGATGGATACATTCTACAAGGTAAAGGATGGCCATGCCTTGCAACTTACACACACACTAGGGATGTACTAGTGTAGTCGATTAACCAATAAGCAAAAGCTTATAGGTTAATGCTATGGACTACACGCATTTCATAGAAACGTAGAGCTGGAAGAGACCTCAGGAGGTCGTCAAGTCCAGCCCCGTGCTCAAGGCAGAACCTGTCCCTCCCCCCTTCCCTTGCCACTAAATTTTTTAGCAGGCTTGTCCCTCCCCCCCTCCCCTTGCCACTAAATTTTTTAGCAGGCTGGCCAGCAGCCCAGGTCAGTTCTGGCTTGCGATGGGTCCGGCACTACCCGTGCTGCGGCTCTGCATTTAAAGTATATAAGGAGCCAGCTGGGCAGGCAGCTCGGCTCAGTTCCCGCTCGTGCCAAGTCCTGGAGCTCAAACCCCCCAAGACAGAGGCTGCTGCCCTGGGCAGGCAGCCCGGCTCAGTTCCCGCTCATGCCAGGTCCTGGAGCTCAAACCCCCCAAGACAGAGGCTACTGCCACTCTGCGCTGCTGCCGCGTTCTGGTCCGTGAGGAGAGCTGGTTTTTAAATTAAAGAAATATAAATACATACATTGGCTCCCTTCACAGACCACCTCCCGCCTGGCACCCTGCACTGCTGCCTCTGATACAGAGACAGCAGCATGGAGTGGCAGGGAGCTTCTCAGGTGTGAGGCCAGAGTGCACTGACTGCCGGCTCCGCCCCTGGAGACTATAAAAGTCAACTAACCAATAAGAATTCATGAGGCTACTCGACTATTCAGTTAACCGATATTTAACATCCCTAATACACACCCCAGATAACTAGACATTCAGCTTTGTAGCTTGAGAGCAAGAAGCATAAACTTGGCAAGACCATGGGAAAGAACGTGGCAACATGGGGATAGAATAACGAAACCAGCTGGGTCTCTTCTAGACGGCATGGGACTGAGACAATGGGGTAACTAGATTTTTGCAGTCTCTGTAGAAACTTCTCTAAAGCGCTCGCCCTCTAAATCAATGGTGAGTATAAAGATATGGGACCTCCTTGATCAGCACCATGCCCCGATCCACTCTAAAGCTGTACAAGAGATTGCGCACTGCTGATGGGAAATGAGCCATTTAGTGCCCATTACAGATTCCGTGGAGTGGTTCATTAAAACAATCCGTGTGATGCCCACATTGTGGTATCCTCCAGCTACAGGGCCCCTTTCATTCTGCAATAGGAGACCCTTGGAATCTTAGACAGTTTTCCAGTGGATTTTATTTTTACGTTAGAGGTGCAACAGTAGGTTATTTTATGGCCTTGCTTTGATGCTCTTGGGATGACCAGTGTGTTTTTCAATGAATTGTTTACTTGTTGCATTAAATTATATCAAACTTGGTTCCTTCTCTAATGAACTAGCACAATGTTCTCCAGTTATGCAAACTGAGGGTCTTGGGGTATGTCTGTTGCATTCCTCCTTTGAGAGAGGAATGCAAATGCAGACAAATTGCAAATGAAATGCGGATTTGAATTTCCTGCGCTTCATTTGCATAATTGCAGCTGGCCGCTTTTCGAAGTACCGCATTTCAAGAGAAACGTGGTCCCCATGAGGTTATTTCAAAAAGAAACCCTTCCTTCGAAATAACCCATAAACCTCATTTTTTTAAGGAGTAAGGGTTATTTTGAAGAAAAGGTTTCCTTTTGAAATATACTGTATTCGAGAAAAAACAGGGTTTTTGGAAAAGCGGCTAGCTGCAATTATGCAAATTCAAATCAGGAAATTAAAATGGGTGCTTCATTTGCAATTTTGTTTGTCTGTATTTGCATTTCTCTCTCGGAGGAGGAATGCAATAGACATGCCCTTAGTGAGAGCAGGTGAATGGGAGTCGGCCTATAAACCAGTTTTAAAAGCTCTCTCTGCCTTATTTCCCCACCTCAGGGACATTCTATGCGCGGGAGCCCGTGTCTGTGCTCTACACGTTCGTGAGGGAAGCGCTGCAGGATGACTGGATGCCCTTTGAGCTATTTGTCCCTGGAGGTCTCAAGCTGACGGAAGAGAACGTGGCGTTCAATGAGTGCGGGCTGGTGAGTAAAGTGATTTAGATGAAGCTACTTACAGCAGATACAAAACTCTGCAGGGAACGGAAATGGGATTGCAGTCATTCTGTTTCCAGGGGTGGTCGGATGTGTTGAAACACTGAGCCTCTTAGTCCTCAGCTCAGTGCCGTTCAGCTTCAGCCTGGTCACAAGCTGTACCATCCCCTGCCAGAGGGCCAGGAACTCTGCACAAGCCTGACCTATATGTCCTGTCTTCCTGCCTGGCAAAGTTCTTCCAGAACTAACATGCCACCTGGAAGAACATTTTGAAGGGCTACAAATAGTCTACTCCCTGACCAGCTTTGGTGTAGTTACTGAGATCCTGTATGTTTCTACCTGTCCTAGGTGCCCTCTGCTCTTCTGACATTTGCATGGGATGCAGCTGTCATGGCAGACATAAAAGCTTCAGGGGAAGAGAAGAAAGGAAGCCTGTTGAAACCAGAACTCCTTTCCGCTGTCCAGATATTGTCATGAAATAAACAGGATTGGATTCAGCGCTGTTGCCTCTATGATGTGCTGTTGCCTCGAGCATGGAAATAGAAGCTGCCTCACTGTCACAAACGTGTTTGAGGGAAGACTTCTGTTTTAGCTAGAGCACTCGAAGGCCGGGTCTCAGTAAGCAAATGCTCAATGCATTATCCCCTCCAGTCAGATAGGAGTGTGTCTCTAAGGGGCTGCCACAGAGACACTGGTTTAAACAGATTTAGGTCTGAAGACAGTCCTGCCCAGAAAAAACTTTACATTTGCTGCTTTTATATAACTACTTATTAAACATCCAGAGTAATCAAGAGCTTTTTATCTTTTCTAGAACTACTAAAGAAAAATCCACACTACTGAAGTGTAGCAAAGGACAGCTGCAGCGCTACCCTATTGAGTTGTGATGGTGGACAGGGCTAGTGTTTAGCTTTTCCTTGGTGCATCTATTGTACACAATACAGAGCCTTGGTTGGAACACTAACTGCACACACTTGTTAGCCTCATTAAATGGAATATTTGGAAATAGTTTCCTTGAGCCAAGTGATTTGAGTTAACTTCCCTCCTGGTCCTTGTAGGCTTGAGCAAGGTAGGGTGTGCCAAGGGGGGGATACCAAGCCTGTATGTGACAGCAGTAGACTTCTATTGCTACCTCTGGTTGGAGGGCAAAGTAGAGATCAGGTGAGCAGGTAGGAAAAGCCACAGGTTCAACCTCTCTAATCTGGCACTCCCTGGTCCAGCATGGCTTTAGCTGAATGTTCACTTACCATGGGTGTGGCCAGGTTTCCCACAGTTCTGTACATTTTGTTTATAGCTATGAGTACTGGCTCTGTGTTCTGTGCTGCTATTTAGCTAAGAGTCCAGTAGGCAGTGGAAGTGTTGGTAATGCCACTAGGCTATTGACCTTCCGTGGCTTGGCACCTGTCCGGTCCTGAGGATGCTGGACTAGAGGTTCAACCTGTAGTGAACTCGGCATGGAGAAATTGGAGGCAGAGCTGCTCTGGGGTGATCTAAAACAAGTGCCGTGCTACAACTTGACGGAAAGGTCTACCCCAGCACCAGGTAGAGTCACTTTAAGTATAAAATTGTCAAGACTCACGTTCCTCTGAGAGTGACTTGAGATGGTGGGAGTTAGGTCACTGGCTATGCCTAAAGAAAGTGTGCATATTTATACTTGTTCCTTAATATAGATATGACCCAGTGTGGCTTTAGTATGCTGCTTAGTGTGTGTTCACTTTTCCTCCACTAGAGTTTACTAGTCAGCATTTCCTCCAAATGCTGGTAGGAGTAAAATAGTATGAAAAAGGAAACAATTGAAAGTCTCTTCCCTCTCACTTTAACCTTCAGTGATGGAGTATGAGTTAACAGAGCCACTTGGTAGAAGTAGGTCTTAAAGATTAAGGGGGGGGGGGGGGGTAGTTCTTGAATTCAAGATCATATCCTGCATAGACATGTCCTGGAAGGCAGCTGCAGTGTGTGTGAAGTCTTCAGAAGGCTAAGTTTATTTTTGTTTTGTTTTTTTTAAATGCAACTAGGAGCAATCACAGGACTATAGCTGATGGCAACAGGTATCACTTTCACCTTCAACATTTTTCACTACTGAAGTGTCTTTACACAGATTCTGGGAATCAATGCAGGAATTACTGAATGACTAGTCTGTGTTGGAAAATCTTAAATTCAATAGGAGAATCTAATTTCCTTTTTAGACATCCATTAAACCTGTGCAACCACTGACAAGTACATACAGTTTCACACCAATAAAGCAAAGCTCTGTGTAGTCAGATTCTCTCATATGCTTTGGAGACTATCAGTTTACCCACACTATTGCAGCTGACCTTGCTTTCAAATTGCAATCAGATCATGAGATGCCAATGTAGCTAAGTTGTTAACTAGTGGAGTCCCTTAGCTTTTAAAGCTTAAGCTAAGCTTGGTCATCACATCTGCACTCAACTCCCACTAAGGCTGTATATGCAAATAGTACATGTCACTGATGACATACAGGCTTGGAAGGATTCCATTGGAAGTAATCATGCTGCACATGCACCAAAAATATTTTCCTTGATATTTATAGAGAAATGTTGCTTGAGAACTTTAGTTTAAGGATGTTTACTGTGTATTTTGATATGTTGACAGTGTTAACCATTAAAGCTTTAACTTTTTGAATTTCAATGTGTCATTAAATAATTGAACATTAAGCATTTTTTTCAACAATTTAAAACCTACAATTTTGCACAACTGTAGATTTAATCAAAGTTTAGATAAACATATCTATTAAAATAAATCATTCTACCAACCCTCATTAGATAATCAGGGTCTTGAACTGTATGTTGAACACTTCAGTCTCTTCTCTTCATCCATGCTATGTCTGTTATAAGAAGGTTGATTTCTTACCACATGATCCATGTCTGCAGTGTGCAAAATTATTAGTGTTTGAAGTAAAGCATCTCCATAGAGTACTGATGCACTGTGGGTAGCTATCCCACTGCGCCTGGGCCCCTTTGAATTCTGAATTGTGCTTTCAGTGCATGCTGCAGAGTTTGAAGTAAAGCATCCCAATAGAGTACTGATGCACTGTGGGTAGATATCCCACTGTGCCTGGGCCCCTTTGCATTCTGAATTGTGCTTTCAGTGCATGCTGGGACCACAACTGCTGTAGATAGGTCTGGGTCCCTGTCAGCATCCCATAATGTGCTTGTCTATTCCCTTGCTTGAGATCAATGAGAGTCTTTTTACACCCTCTCTGGCCCTGGTTACCTGCACAGTTGCCATAGCAGCACACAAATAGAGTCCCTCATGGAGCATCAAAGTATTGAGGTTTATCTGGGTTTACCTAATGGGGAATAGGTAGAGAGCACATGCATGCCACTCCAGCAAGAGGACAAATCTCAGGAGGCCAGGGCCATACTGTTCAAGTAAGCCCTTGAGTGAACTGGAAGTGTCGCCAGCATTGAAGCCTGGAAAGAGAACACTAATTCTGATGCTATCAGGCAAGCACAGACTGGTAGGGCTGCATCATGCGACAAGCAGCAGTGAATGCAAAATTTCCAAGGGGGTAAGGCCACTTTCACAGAACTTTGTGAATTAAACCACAGTGGCACATTGACTGGATACAGAGGGAGTGCCTGGGGGTCTCAGTCAATGGGCATGTCAGTAAGTAATACCAATAGGAAAAAACTCAGACAAACCAGTAAAATGTGGCAACCCTGTGTGAAAGCAATGGTAAGTGTCTTTCAGGCCACACATAGAACCCTGATGGGCTGCATGTTCCCACTACTGCTAAGGAAGACAAACCAGAAACAGGACAAGATGCGGATAGCATAAATTCAAATATAATTGTACACGTCACCATTTATGCCCCAAGAGCCATGCTATACAGGGTTATAAACAGAGGACTTGCTCATGGGCATTGCAGTAAGCTTACATTCTCAAGATCACATTGCTAACTTTGCTTAGAGAGCACAAGTTAGATACCTTTCATACAAAATATCAATTTCAATAATGCTTTATTAAAGACAGATTAATATGCAATATTTTTATCTAAAAACTAAAACTAAAATTTTCAAGCTTCCATCTGTTCTGCTTCAGACCAAAGTGCTCTCTTCTTTACAAGAAATAGGGAATACTTTCAAGTATCTTGTACAAAGATACACAAGTTTTAAAAAAATCCTAAAAATTCTACATACATACAGAGGTGTTAGTAAGTATTGGGCATCAAACTGCGTTAGATGGACCAACTGTAACAGCCTTCTGCACAGGGACCATCTCCACTGCACCATCTGATTCTGCAGCAATTTCAGGAATTAAGGGTGTAGAATCTGTGAAGTAGAAAAATGTTTTTCACATTCACTATTAATGCAGTACAGCCGCAGGGCATCCCTCCTCATTAGAAAGTGTAGCTAGCATTAGAGGCTCAGTCTTCAGTGTGGTTTACTCAAAATGCATGCTATTGGTACAAGCCCATGTGGACAACTTTTTCAGGGGCTGATTTTGGATTGACGTAACTGTCTAAAGGACTGACATTGACCCAAAATAAATTGTTTACACAAAAAGGTTATCCAATGATTGTTTTTAAAATCACTTTGTTAAATCAGTGCAAGTTTGTGCATAGACAAGTCCTTAGATGGAAACGAACAGAAAGAGCCCTCTCTCAGCACAAGAGGTCAGAGCCTTTAAGTTGCTCTGCACTTTTGTGATTCCAGAGAATCTTGATGCACACAGTTTTAGCTTAAGCTAATGTTTAAAAATATTGTCTATTAAGCATCAGAAAAAAGGAAAGGACGGTAGGTACCATAGCAGTTCCAGTTGGCAGAGAAAAAAGTAAGATGGCTCAAAAGGTGGGGGCATTTTATATCCTTCCTGACCATAGAACATAGGCTCAAGGAATATTGTGAACCGCTCATCTCTGTGCCAGGCAACTTTTACAAGGGGGCTCTGCCGAGACAGTCTCACAAAGATGAGCTACGCTGCAGAACTGGTATGGGGAACTGATAGCTCTGACAATGGTATAAGGGACAGTTGTAGTATTGTTTTGCATTAGTGACCACCAGTGAAATACTTAATGAGACCAGGCATTTACATTTCTCAGCAAACATAACAAAAGTAGCCTCAGAGAAAACTTAACACAAATGGGCCTGCAGCACCTTAGCTACTAACAAAAAGAGTGGACAGTATTCATGATCTTTTGCGGGTACAACCCCCTTCTTCAGATGACTGGAGCAAGGGGTCCAGAGGTACCTGTGGAGTAGTGTGTGGTGAGGGATTCGTTATTAGGTATTTTGAGTCGTTGATTTAATGTTGGCAGCTAAACCACATTACTTCTCCCAAAGGAGAGAACAATTAGCTTGGCAGCCAAAAGCAACTCAAGCAATTTGTGTAAGTGCGGAGTGTATTTCCAGACATTTCTTCTGTCATCTCCACCCCCAACCCTGACTCAATTTTGTGTGTGCATGCAGGGGTGACCTTTTTCTGCAGGCATGAGGAATCTGGTTATATTCCAATGTCTAAGCAGGGCAGGAAAGAGAAGGGTCCAGCATACTACTGACTGGAATGGAAGATTGGCAGTATTGTTGTAGCCATGTTGCTTGCAGGATATTAGAGACACAAGGTAGGTGAGGGCATTTTTTATTAGACCAACTTGATGAAAAAGAAACATTCAAGCTACACAAAACTTCTTCAGACAACAGTTGTGTAGCTTGAAAGCTCCTCTCTTTCATCAACAGAAGTTGGTGCAACAGAACACATCCTCCCCCACCTCGTCTCTGAAACGGAGGAGTAGTTAGAGAAGGGAGGTTGCATAATGCACAAGTAGGGTCTGTGGGACTGAGACCCATTAAGTTAGTGTGGGAGAAGCACCGCAGAAGAACAGGCATTCTGAGCCAACGTTAGACAACTTGGCATCTAGGAGCAAAGAGAAAACATGGCCTGGGGAGGGTGATAAAAGCACTAACACAGATGAGGCATCAGTTTTATGTAGAATGAACCAGCCGTGGGAAATGTTGGCAGGAAGAACTACAGCAATGTTGGCACTCTGTCCTGTTCCCATCATGCTGAATGTACAGAGCGTTTCGCTGTATACCTCCTGGGAGCAGATCTGCCAAGAGCCATTTGGCAGAGGTCATCTCTCACCTTTCCCTGGTTTTATGTCCACGATTATGCAATCTTCTTCCTCCTCCTCTTCAGTGTCAGCCTGGAAACCATCCATTTCCACAGCTTCAGCCTTTAAACAAATCAAAAAGGTAGCAGCAACTAAGTTTGTCTGTGACTGTTTAAAATGCAAAATGATCAGAACGAGCTCCAGTAGATTAGGCAGCACAAAGGAAATCAAAAGCCTTACTGTAAGAGATGCTTGCTGTAGAATGTGCTTTCAGGATATCTTGAACAAAGTTAGGGATTTCTCACACAGACTGGGCCCTTGTCAATAGTTAACATCTATATTACAATGTCAGATTTCCTGCTGTATCAAAAAACTGCTTGCTAAAACACATGGGCTATTCCTAATTGCTTTTTGTGTAAGGTACAAACTGATGTTTCGGCTCAGTGTGAACAACGATCTCCAGCTTTGTTCTAAAAGGGAAGGTTTTTTTTTTTTAATATTTTAAAAAAGTTTCTTCTTGCCCTCAACAGGGAATCACACATGGAAAATTATTTTTCCCAACCAAAATTTCCCCTCCAGGATTATTTATTCAGCATTTATCAGTAGTGACTGCTGCTTTTGAGCCAAAAGAACACAAGAGTGAAATTAAGATGGTGTCCTTACTCTACACTGAGCTGTATTTTTTCTGGAATTAGAAAAACCTAGAGATACCCAGTCATTTCCTCTCCCCTCTGCCTCCCAATAGCTGTTTTAAGATAAGGAACATTTTAGTTTTAACATGTTTGATAATATCCTTCATGCTTAAATTTTAAGTAAGATTCACTTAATTAAGATTCAGGTTTTTCATACATGCACTGGTTCTCAATAATCAGTGACTTTTGCTCTTCAAAAGAAAGAGCACCTGTATTTAGAAGACAGATCCAGAAAGCATGACAGCAGATGGATAACTAGAAGAGGGAAAAGAAAACAGATGTGGCTGCATGGACCCAAACAATCCAATTTTGATTTTTCCCCACAAGCACCCACCCTTTTTGATGGGAAACAATAAGATAGCAGCTGTGACAAGTGGACTTGAAAGCACTAACAAAAAATTTGAAAGCTCCCGACAGTTTGTTTCAAACTGCACTCTTCTCCCCCAGCATGATGTTCTGTTTTAGGAAGCTGCCTTTAGCAGCATCCAGAGCGTTAGAGTGTCCGTAACAGACCAGCACAGCTACCTCTCTGAAACCTGTAATAATGCTACTTATCAGAACCCTCAGTCTCATCCTTCTTCTTGCAGGAGAATCATGGCCCATAGCTAACAGCTTGAATGAATAGCAAGCAGAGGTTTTAGGTTCTGCCTTACTCAGCATGTAGGCCAGTCAAGAGCCAGATGGAACACTGGAGGCAGGAACGCCTCAGTGCAAGCCTCTAAAACAATGTTGCTCAGAGCAGCTTCACATGCAGGAGGAAGAAAAAGGCCCAATGTACTAAGAGGAAGATGGAAATTAGTAGTAGAGGAAGGAACCTTCACTTACAGCTTCTCTCTACAACCTTGCAGTCTACAAAGTTCTACCTTTGCTCATTAGTGGGCAAGCCCCTGACAGCTTTGAGTTGGAAAACAACTTTAACCCCCTCTTCATTGCCCCCGACTCAGAATAGACATCTTCCCAGCCGCCAAAATGGACACCTTGTTCTAGCTTTTCACAGGACTTCTATAGAAGTTATTTCAAAATATGTCTATTTAAGTATGCAGTGTTGATGTAGTCCTGTTGGCCCCAGGATATGAGAGGAACAAGGCGGGTGAAGCAATGTTATTTATTAGACAACTTCTGTTGGAGAGAGAAGTTTAAGCGGACAGAGCTCTTCAAGTCCAGGAAAACTTACTCAGCATCAGCTAAATACAAGCTGGAATAGACTGTTTAGCATGAGTAGTTAACATATTAATGGTCCACTTCACTTTGAAATATTACTCTAATCATAGGTGGAAAGGAGGGATAGTTGTTAGTGGGTTATAGATTAAGGATGTTAAATTTAGATCAATCAGCTAATCGAATAGTCGATGTAATTTGCATTGACTAGTCAATTAGTCGATAAGGGCACCTCTGCCTCTGAAATGTAACTAGAGTCCTGCCAGCTCTTGCTACATTTCAAAGGCGGAAACGCCGCCGGGTACACAGCCAGCGGGGGACTCAGAGCAGGCAGCAAGGAGGGAGGAAGCAACTGGTTGACTAGTCACTTACATCCCTATTATGGATTGTTATAAGAAGCCATAAATCCAGTATCTTTTCACTCCATGATTTTAGCATCTAATGCAGTTAAGTGTCAAGGCTTGTAGGTTTTGTGCAGGTTTCCTCTGAGGACTGGGAGGTCAGATACAGTGATTGCCGATGAAAAATGTTCACCCATAGCGATATGGTATTTGTCATATTCCTGTGAGTTTATTCAAGAGTATAGTGATTGTCTAGTTTCACCCACAGTGTTGCTATTTCGGCATTTACTATATTACCTATTACTATTACCTGTTAGGATAAGCATGTCTAGGACCTACGAATCTTCCAAATAAAATCTAAGAGCAATGCAATAGCTGAAATTCTTACTAAAAACTGAGAAGTAAGGGAGAGCAGAAGGGGGAAAAAAAAGTGGCCTAAAATATTATAAAATGCTCAGTTTTGCCTCATGCTATACGCTAAAGCTTACTAGGACATCTTGCCAGTTACCTTGGTGTATTTTGCTAATCTATACTGCGATGAGGCTTTGCAAGCACAATTAAGGATTTAGTCCAGGGGTGGGCAAAAGGGCCTCCACGGTCCTAATCCGACCGGATCCGGCCCACGGAGGCCCTGCTGCTCCCCCGCCCCCAAACCAATCAGGGCATGGTGGCAGGGGAGCTGCATGAAGCTTCCTTCGCCCTGCCCCAGCCCTGCGAGTAGCCTGCAGCACTTCAGAGTGCCACATGCTCCTCGCAGGGCGGAAGGAGGCTTCCTGCACTCCCCCGCCCCCAGGCCCTAATTGGCCTGAGGGTGGGGGAGCGTGCCAAGCCTCTTCCAGGGCATTGGTGCCTAGTGGGAAGGAGGGCGGGGGGAACAAAGGGGCTCCCCTCATCCTCAGGCCAATCATGGTCTGGGGGTGGGGTAGCCCCGCCCCTTCCTGGTTAGGCCCTGCCTGGCCTAAATTTTTGAAGTGGCCCCCAGGCAAAAATTATTGCCCACCCCTGATTTAGTCCATAGGTACTTGCAGTTTTATATGTATTGAACAAGCAACAGAGCAAGAGGTGAGAGTAGCGAGTCAAGGCTAGACAACAAGGAATACATCTGGCAGCGATAGAATGCATTGTTTCACATCTCTCTCAGATGAGCACTGCAGTATGAGCAAAGTTAGCTAGGGGTGTTCAAAAAGCATTCATAATTTGGAGGGAAAATGGAGGGAGGGACAGAAAGAAAAAGTTGCCAATATTTTAATCAGACTATTTTCACTTGAAAACTAGAACTACAAAGACTCCTCCTGCCTATTCAAATTAATGCATCTCTTCTCTCACCCCTTCCTCCAATATATCAGAAGGGATTCATTGCAGTGAAATCCACGTCAATATTCCCGACTGCAAAACCAACATTTTGCCATCTATATGGAGATCCATGCTTGCCTAATTAGATCACCAATATTCTGTGTTAATAGCTCTTATCCCTTCTGAGTACATAAAGTTAGAATGTTCTTAAAGGAACTCACCTGTTCTGCATCCCTAGGTTTTTTCATGAACTTGGTGATAGACATGCTTCCTGTTGACTTCCTCTTTGCTGAAACTGGGGTGGTTTGTATCACTGTCACCCCTGGTACAGTGCTATTGTCCTCCTTGGCTGCAGAAGGGACAGGTGTGATGTAGTTCCACTGACAAGGAACAGGCAGGTGCTCTTGATCAAAGCTTTTCAGCACCTCTGAGTGGACATACCAACACATCCTATATTCAGGTCTCTTCTCATACACAGAGTTCTCTGAAATAATTCGCTTTAGTCTGGCTTTGGAAGGAATAGCACTGTCCTCATTGACTGGAGTCTGTGGACGGGAAGTATTGGGACTCGTATGATTAGCATCACTAATATCTGAGACTAGGGCCGTTTCACTGAACAGTCCTTGGCGGCAACACTCCTGGAATTCATGGATGATCACTTTACTTCCATTTACATTTCCATGGAGCAGTGGAAGTAGTTGTCCCAGAACTGGAGAGAAAAAGAGATCTGCATGTAGGTTTTTGAAAGCAAGCCATTATATGCCTAGAACTCAGTATACATCACTGATTCACTGATATTAACTAAGCAGTTGTTACTGAAAAATCCACACCTAGGAGTTGTGGTCACTCAAAGTACAAGGCAAGAACACTTTGCTTACTGGAATTTTGGCATGCAAGCAGAGCAACAACCCAGGATGGTGTTACACTCACCATTTTACAGAAAGGAAAAAATATTGTTGAATTCAAATCAATGTGTAGTGGAAACAGAACCCAAGAATCCAACCCCATCCCCTGCTCTCACCCTTCACTCTGTTTTCATGGTGTTAGCATCCTGTTAACTAGTTATACCTGTTCAGCATTAATCAATTGAGAGACAATGAACCAAATCCCCATTCCCTGCAGTAGTATATAGGGATTCAAGAGAACACAAATTGTCTCATTCCCTAATCTTTGTCACAGCAAAAAGATTCCAGCATTTAAAGCAAGCAACAGATTTTAGATGGAACATAGTTAGAACTACCCATAATGGAAAAGTTTCCACCAAGTTCACCTGCAAATATTTCTGACTTCACACCAGTCAGTAAGACTCAGAATAAACTGGATACATGAGTATCATCAGATTGAAACCAATTTAGAGAAAGTACAACTGTTTGACCCTTCCCAGTCTTACTTTGCTGGTCTTTTGTCCTTTTTTTGCTAGTTTTCTGCATCTGCTCTTCCTCTGCAACAGAGGAGTCCAGAATACAAACTGCAAACTGCTGAAGCACTTTTAGGTCTGCATCTGTACTGCTGTTGCTTTCTTCTGTTTCCCAGATGCAGCCAATCTTCACAGCCTGAAGGACATGGAACCTCTTCCCCTTGGCTATCAGTTCATCCCATTCCTTTGCTTTCAGCTTCTGACGAACTTTCTGATTCTCAGGATCATGCTCCTAAAAGTCAAGAAAAGCCTCCAACTTATTAATTCTAGAAAAGTTGAAATTCTCACTTTTGCTTCACAATGTTCTCAGAGCTATGAAAAATTAAGAACTACAGGAGATCAGAAATATGAGGAAATACTTTGGAAAGGAAAGCCATCAGAAAGTATGGACACCATACAGTATTGTCACAGCCTTACAATAAAAGTGTCAGAAAAATCCTTATTGTCAATCTCTGGTGTTCACATGGTGAGTCACTAAATATCTATCAGTTTGTCATCCATAAGTCTCATAGGCAGGAAATATCCCCATTTATAGATGAAGAACTGAAGCACAGAGGGAAGTGACAATCAAAGTTACACAGTAGGCCAGTGGCAAAGCTAGACTAGAACACTGGTTTCCTGAGTCCCATATCCAGAAAGAAACACTCTCTCAACATAAAGTTTCCAAAACTTCTAAAAAAAGTGTTGTGATATAGGTGGCTGAGTTTTATAGACACTAGAAGGGAAGCCCTAACGTAGTCTTCCATCTCTCAAGAAATGCAGCTCACTCTTGATGAATACCTCTTTATAAGCGGTTTAGAAGTGACTCTTCCCCAAGTGTAGGGTCAACCTGTTCTGGAAGCTTTTCCAGGATGTTGCACTTACAGCAGGCTAACTGGCCATCATCAGCTGCTTATTTCCTGTCTTTCAGATGAAATATTCCTAGAGAACGGTTTTCTGTTTCAGTTGCCCATATTAACAGTTTGTCATCCTTTGCATCTGGTGGAATTTCTAGCACAGCCTCATCCTGAGCATAAGCTTACAATCAGCACTGATTTTTACTGCAGTCTTACATGTATTTCAAATGTTTCTCTAATCACCATTCGCTATTCAAGTGTGCTATTATAGGAGATGGGAGAAATCATGATAGGATATTAGTAGCTACTTCTCCTAGCTTAATCTTCTTCTATTCCACTCCTCACAGAAGAGCTTTCTTGGATTTTCATATAGCCACACAGCATATTAAACTCAGATACAACCCTGTCTATAACAGGTTGTATGTGAATAAAACTATCTCTGTCAAATGTTCTTCTCCCCTGCTTAATCAAAATGCTGCAGTACATACTCATCTGGAAGTACAAAGACACTGATATGCTAACTGACTGCAGAGTGCGCTAGTATTAAAGGCTGAAGCATACATTTTATTTGTTAAATAGATAAGCAGATCAGTCCTATCATGAGCATGCTCTCTCTCCTCTATCAAGTTTGAGTCAACATCAGCTTCCTCTGGAAAAGTACACAACATATTACACAGTACATTTGGGAAATGAAGAAACTGAGGTCCACAATCACTCAATTCACTTACTTCTGTCACTCCCTCATCCTCAGATAGATACCCATGGGGTACAAAAAAGCCATCATCATCATCTTCATCTTCTCCTCCCTCCTCCTCATCATCCTGAAAATAAAGTTAACTTTATTGGAAACTGCACTTCAGAAGAGTTTCTAAAAGCAGCAAGAAACCAGACAAAAACACTCTTACAGAAGAGTGTTGTCTGGCTTGAGACTAATGACAAATCCTTCTGTCCGCTAAGACAGCTATGGTTCTTTTGAATAATATCCACAACTTTAAGGCTGGCTGGCACTGGAAATTCTCACCCCTTCGCTGTGAGAGAGAGACTCTCCTGGTTCTTCCTCTTCCCACTCTTCATCACTATCTATCTCATAGTCCAACAGTTTCTGTAATAGAAACGTTCACATGTCAGCACTCAGTCAGTGAACCCAGAGAACAATTCAATAGTTAAAGCAACAATTTAAACAGCAGCAAAGAGGAATAAATGATAATTGGTCTGTCAAATGTAAGAGAAGAATTAATGGGTATTGGATACAAGGTCTGCTTTCAGAATTGAAAGAAAGCAGTCAGTAAGGCATAGCTAATACCATACTGATTGTGAAATGCTTACACTGTCCTTTGACCAAGGATTCCTGGGACGGATGACAGCGGTTTTCTTATTCCACGTGCCCCAATATGCAGGTCGGTGATTCTCCGAAAACTGTAGGAGTTTCATCCTGCCAAATTTCTTCCTTTCAGGAACACTGTCCATTTTGCAGCTATCCACTATCACCACATCACTGTTGAAACAAACACATCTATCATCTTCTACTGCTGCTCAGACAGAGCCTATGGACATCACTCAAAAGCCAAGGAAACCTAGGGGTCAGCAGTCTAGAGCATTTGAATTAACTACACTTCACCATCATCTGCTTGCAAGAACAAAGTCTCTACCCAGGCCAGATCCCACCCTAAATATCACATCCAGGTTGGTGTAGTTAGCCACTCTATTTCAACTATCAGACAGATTTAACAAAAAGTATGCTATTTAGGCTGTGTCTACACTACTAACATTACAATGGTGCGGCTGTGCTGCTGCAGCAGCCATGTGATGCACTGCATAAACATTCTTTATTGCTGGGAGACCACTTCCAAAGAGGTGTGGTAAGCTTCATTCTCCATACTACCGCTTTTTATAATTAGAACTGTCTTTCCGGGTTTGGTTGTTTTTTTTCCTTCACATCCCAAATGACAAAAGTTTTGACCAGAGTGCCAGTGTAGACAAAACCTTAGATCATGGATGGGGAACCTTTTTTGGGGTCAGGGACTGCTGACCCACACAAAAAATCAGTCAGGCTAGTAGATTTTGTGTGCTCCAGCCCCATGGTGAGAACAGCAAGGGGGGTGTGTGTGTGTGTGTGTGTGTGTGTGCTGGACTGCCAGCGTGGGCTCCCGAATGCTGAGGTAGAGCCCCAAGCCTCAGGGGCCAGATTCAGGCAAGCCTTAGGTTCTCCACCCCTGCCTTCTGCACTGGACACTGTTAAAATGCCATACTTCCTGCAGAGAAGAATCTGTGAGCTTGCATGTGGAATCAAATCTGCTTCACAATACATTGCATCTTGTAACAATAAAACTCACAGGACTCTCTGAACAGGAAAATCCCACTTTTTTGGTGATCACTGCCATTGGTGCAAGCCATAACACCTGGTTAGACAGCTTGTATGTAAGTGAACAGCAACCACTAAGTCCCACACTAACCTGTTGACTACGTCGGCACTGTGGTAACAGACAACTGTAGGTCCAGATTTACGCTGCTTACGGCACTTCAGTTCTTCCAAAAAAGAAACATCACTAGTCTGTCCTTGTAGGAGCTGATCTAACTGATCTGAGAGGTCCTGATCAAAGGCAACACGACAGAGCGGGGCCAGGACCATGTTTTCTTTAATTTCAAAGGGAGCAAATTTCCCACAGGAGCCAGCAAGAGTCTGAAATTAAAAGTGCATTTAGAAAAACAATTGCACCAGCCCTTTTGAGTTAAATCTAAACTCCTGATATTTCAAGGGGTGCTAGGAATAATTCCTATTAGAGTTCAGCAGATCCCCTCGAAGGAAATTAAAGTCTTGTAATCATGCCTGTAGCAGCTATTAATCAAGAGTCAAGGATTTCCATTGTAACTGGCAAGATGTATGATCTTTGCTATAAGAGATTACAATTCTGTCCCTCACAGCAGCCACCACAAAGTTTTCAGTAGTCTAACCACAGACACACTGTTCGCCATCACTTAACTAAACTAGCATGTGGGTTCCGAAGATAAGACAATGAAGCAGAGCAATAAAGAAAATTACTAACTACCACCCACCTTGGGGGTTTGTGGAGTCTTTGGTTTCTGAAAGAACCTGGTGATTTCTGCCTTCTGTGCATTAATGCGCTGGAATTAGAGATTTGAAATACAGGTTATCAACTTGTTAAATGAACATGAATATGGCAGAGTCTTTAAGAGGGGTTACTCTTTAGCTCTCTAAAGTTCATGATGTGGTATGTTTGGTATTTTTGCTCAGCTTCTGTAATATAACAGCAATCAATAACAAATGAATATGCTATTACTATGTTATCCATTTATAAGGTCAACATGGAACACAATACAAGTAGGTAGACTCAAGAGGCTTAGTGTTCTGATAAAAATGATGAATTAGAAGCAGGAAAAAGCAGAGCTGGAGCAACCTCTTAGTGCCTTGAATGTCAGAATTTGAGTGGGAAGAATGGTGCTTTGGTGGAAGCTTACACTGTTACACTGTTCAGAGGATGGGTTATGACAGCTTTTGATGGAAGATCTGTCAAAAAGCCCATCACAGTATCCTCCCTGAGTAAGTACTTGAGTTGCTCCCTGATGACTTTTGGAAGGATTTCCATATTGCCACTGTTCTCCATTCCTAGCCCAGAGTCCTAAAGGTGAGAATTATTTTCATACTGATGCAGATGGCCTTCTCATTCTTTTTTTGTGAATGAGTAGGCCAACATACATGATTGGTGGGCAGTCTCAGAAGAGGCAAGTTCAGCAAGGATTTAAGGACAGGGTAGCAGTTTGACTGACCAGAACAGATAAAGCTTTTATGTTTTTTTCCAGGAGAGGAAGATGGAAATGAACAAGTCTGAACAAAGGCCACTAGCATGCATGGGAGGAATTGACAGAGGTACCAACGCATCACTGGTGGAGTAGTGTAGATTGAATATGTTGCACCTCGAATTAAAAAAGTTTAATGTGATGCATCTGAGAAGGGAGAGCGAGTGGAGAGATTCAAAGACGGGAATATTAAAAGCCATGCTCTGGATGATCTAGCAAAGGGTAATGTTGGTATCAGTCCAATCAAGAACACTAACAATCGCCAACTTCCATAGAAGAACCTAGATAGAAAGTGTCAGAGGGACAGCCCTACTCCAAAAGCAAGCAAGAATTTTTTTACCTTCTCCTCTTCTTTTAACCGTTTCTCCTCCTCCTTCTTCCTTTTCTCTTCAAGTTTTGCTCTTTAAAATATAAAGTTGATTCAAGAAATTACTACACAAGTCATTAAGGTGACAGTATTTATCATTTGTATTTTGGTAGAAACTAGGACCCCAGTGACTGTACCAATGGAACAAAAGGGCACTCCATTAATTTGATCCAAACAGCAAGAACGTGAAACAAAAAAGGCTATTCATGTCTTCTGCATGGAAACGTGTTATGTTCAACCATGTCTACATTACTAGTTATCTATTTTCAACTCCCTCTAATACCCAGAAGAGGGATTTGTGGTTGTAACCTAAAAACACTTAAAAAAAACCCCTTAGGGGGCTGTGCACCTTGCTCGCTATGCTCACCAATTCCCCTCTCTCTGGGGGTAGATGTCTGGGTCAGAGGGGAGAGAGCAGGAGCAGGCAGGGTGCATGGCCAGGGGGAGGATGCAGGAGCAGACTCAGCGTGTGGGGCTTGGCAGAAGGGTTGAGGAGACTGGCAGGTGGGATGGGGTGGGGCTCGGATGGCAGAGGGGTGGCCTGGGGACAGGCGGGAGGAGGGGGATGGGCTCAGATGCTGAAGGGGTCCCAGCCCCAGTAGCTCCTCCCCAGCAGCACAGCTCCCCAGGGCATGAAGCAGAAGCCAGAGCTGGAGCAGCCCATGCCTGGAAGGGATGGTGCTGAAGCTGGCAACAGCAACCAGCTGAGGATGGAGGCGGGCAACAGAATGAGGACGCAGATGACATCACTCTGTCGTCCCACAGGAAACTTTTTTACACACACACACACACACACACACACACACACACACACACACACACACACACACACACACACACACAGACACAC